TGAAACTCGCCAGCTGCATTTGTTTTCATCCTTTGTTCCTTTGCTGTCCTGCACTGGGGCTTCATGAATCCTGTACTATCAGTGTGAAGCTTTTGCTTCTGGGAAGCACCTCAGTGAACTGCTGCAGGTCATTGCTTTTGTTCTGCTGTTTCCACCTTGTCTTTTATTTCTAGTTGTGAACTTTCTATTTTGTAGCTTTTTCCTTCACCAGAAAGTTGGATGATAGGATTGGGAGGGATCCAGAGGCTAGAATCTCTCATCAAGCAGTACCCCCTTCCCCCCAGTGAAATACCCACTGGGCAAGTCAGTTAGCTAGGCCAAAGTGAAGCATGTTCAGAGAAGAATGTTAGAATGGGCCTGAGAAAATGATAGATGAGTCATTTGGCTTAGGGGCTCACACCCTTGTACTCTTTGCAGAAAAAAAGTCATAGAAGTAAATCCCATGCCTAGTGCCACAGTTCTCTTGTAATGGTGCCTTCAGTGGACATTTAGTAGTTTGTTCTGATGTGGGATTTTATTTTTCTAAGTTTTTCTCCTTGTTTGAACCCCGGTGTACAAACAGCCTGTTTTCCTTTTCATTTGAAACGTACCTTTTTAAAAAGTAAAACTATCATTTGAGTCACAGAAATTCAAATTTAAAAATAAAACAGGATTTTGGTTAAACACACAGAGAGGAGGCTGTTAACTGGCTTTTTTATTTTTTTACGGTACGTGGGCCTCACTGTTGTGGCCTCTCCCGTGGCGGAGCACAGGCTCTGGATGTGCAGGCTCAGTGGCCATGGCTCACGGGCCCAGCCGCTCCGCGGCATGTGGGATCTTCCCGGACCGGGGCACGAAACCATGTCCCCTGCATCGGCAGGCGGACTCTCAACCACTGCGCCACCAGGGAAGCCCAAAACTTTTTTATTTTTTTTAAACATCTTTATTGGAGTATAATTGCCTTACAATGGTGTATTCGTTTCTGCTTTATAACAAAGTGAATCAGCTGTACATATACATATATCCACTTATCTCCTCCCTCTTTGCATCTCCCTCCCTCCCTATCCCACCCCTCTAGGTGGTCACAAAGCACGGAGCTGATCTCCCTGTGCTATGTGGCTCCTTCCCACTAGCTGTTTTACATTTGGTAGTGTATATGTGTCCATGCCACTCTCTCACTTAGTCCCAGCTTACCCTTCCCCCTCCCCATGTCAAGTCCATTCTCTAGTAGGTCTGTGTCTTTTTTATCTTTTGGTTGTAACCAGCTGACTTACGTATATCTCCTAGAGGAGAGGATGGTTTATAGTAAAGACATACATGGATTAGAACAGGCACACCAACAGGAACAGAACTTTTTCCATGTGTCTCATTGACCACCTGGTTTTTTTACAGTGTGGCTGCCACTCCACACTGTGGCTGCTTCATTCTTTTCTATTAAATGGCTCATTCTTATCTAACCATAGCTTTTGCTTCCTCTTTAGTTTGCAAGTAGCCTATCATGTATCCATTAGGTGCCATTTCTACAACTTCTGAAAATAGAGAACTCCTTTTTACCCCCAGTGTAAATCCCAGAGGGCACATTACAGCCCAGCAGATTTCTAGGTCAAGGGTGTCATAAGTCATACTCAGTGCCCTCCCAGAAAATAAGGCAGGGCTATGTGGTCCCCTTCAATTTTGTCTGTGGATCAGCAGTTTCCCCCAGAGGGAAAATTGAAAGCTTTTTAAAAAAATTAATTATTTTTGGGCAGCGTTGGTCTTTGTTGCTGCACGCGGGCTTTCTCTAGTTGCCGAGAGCGGGGGCTACTCTTCGTTGCAGTGTGCGGGCTTCAGTAGTTGCAGCTCATGGGCTTTACGGTGCACGGGCTTCAGTAGTTGTGGCTCATGGGCTCTAGGGCTCATGGGCTCTAGGGCGCAGGCTCAGTAGTACTGGCGCACGGGCTTAGTTGCTCTGCTGTATGTGGGATCTTCCCGGACCAGGGCTTGAACCTGTGTCCCCTGCATTGGCAGGCGGATTCTTAACCACTGTGCCACCAGGGAAGCCTGGGAGAACTGAAAATTGTAGATGCTGCCACTGAACCAGTCTGGTACCATATACAACATTGGATATGGAGTTCTGTAAGTTCTAAATCTTAAGAGATAAGCAATTGAATGCCTTACCTCTAATGGGTTTAGTGCACATGTGATTAACATATGCATGTGTGGGAAGAAGGGAAACAGTGGAGATTGCAAAGGCAGGGACCTACAGAGCCTTTTTATTATCAGCTCTGGCATTAAAGCATGAGCTGTCCCTGTATCTAGTTCTAATATAACAGTGCTGAGAAGCATCAGATAGTCAGTTTCTCTGAGAGAGTTAGGGAAAGATGGAGGAATGGAGACTTCTTTTTAATGAAACATACATACTTTCTTCTCCCCTCTCAAAGGACAAGGAGTAGAATTAAAAAAGTTATAAATCCACAAAGTCAAAGAATGGAAAACGAGACAATAAGCAAGAGTAAAGATTCTGGAAAGCAGTTAAATGAGTGGTAGGAGGAAGCCAAGTCTCTAGCGCCTCCAGAGAGAGGGAGCTTAAAAGATTTGCACTGCAGAAGCTGAGAAAGGATGAGGAAGCGGAGCCACCAGAAAGACAGCATGGTGTGCTTTGTTGGACCTGCTCGTGCAGGACAGACTTGGCTGGAAACACGGGAGGGGAGTTGTCGAGGTCTGGAGTTGTTCAGGGCATGTCAACTGTGGAACTCAGTTGACCCAAGGTTCAAGAAACTCAATGCTTACCGCCTTGGGGTCTACTGAAATGGAAGAGTCTTCCCAGGGAAGAGCAGGGCTAGAGGTGGTGCCCAGCTTTTGTAGAGCTACACTGAGTACCCTGGACCCAGGGAAACACAGAACAGGCATATAGGAAGCACACTCAATTAACCAACCTCACCCAGAGCTGAGAACTGTTCTGTGACCAGAGCCTGCACTCAGGCCATACGGCCGTTAGTCAGCAGAAGGGCCAGAACACAGAGTGGAGCACAAGGTTAGGTGTATGATCACAACTGGGGAATCCCAGAGCTCCCACAGGGGGAGCGGCCTCTGGATCCACACTGGGGGGACCATCTGTACTTGGGTAGACGTGTAAGAAGAAACTAAGTACTTAGAGGGTAAAGGGTTCACCTCAAGTATACTGCAACTTATTTGATTACTGACCATAAGTGAATGTTACTTTCACAGGGACATTGAGGAAGAGATTGGGGCAAATTAATACTTATTTAACAGATGTCTGCAGGCTACCTAGAGTCAAAGTCAGGGTTCTTTCAAAGGAAAGTATTGTTAGAGGGGTTTTAGAATCTTAAGTGAGGGAGAGCCTTGAAAGCCCTGTCTCTGAGTTTCCTTTAGGGTAGGACTAGCTTTACAACCATTTTAGAGTTTTCTTTTTCGCTTTTTGGTTTTTTTTATTGCTATGTCGCTAGCAGGGATGGGTGCAGTTCTCCCTAAGATGTCTGCATTCATGTAAGTACTTGTAATTCTTAGGTATATGTTTTTATAGTCTAAATAACCCATGCCTTTAACCCTTATCTGAAAAGGTGGCTTAAGAATAACCAGAAGAGGGTCAGTTAAACTTTATATACGAAACTTGGCTTCAGCCCTAGTCAAGGAACTGTCCTCCTTAAAATGAACAAAAAGTTTCCAATAAAAATAGAACTAATGAGGTGAAATCTTATCTGGCATGGCTGTGGTACCTAACTGGGCTTCAGTTGGCACATGTCAACTATCTTCCCAGCTCTAGAATCTTGAGACAAGCCTCTTACTCCTTACGTTTTTATAGCTTCAACAACAACAAACAAAAAAAGGGGAGAGGAGCTCTACAGAAAGCCAGTAGCACTTCAGCCAGCTAAGGAGTCCAACTCAGTTAAACAACTGGTATGCTCTTTTAGGGTTAGATGTTTATACTATAAAGTACTTGATAAAATTAGACAACCTCTGGGGCTTTGCCAGGTGCTGAGAACTGAACACACATAGCAGTGCCCAAAGAACTGGAAATGGATTTGTGTATCTATTTTAAATAGGCAGTGTCATTGGGTACAGCCACATAATTAAATGCAGTCCTCAGAAAACAATTTAAGTATATGAGCCATAAATTACTGAGCAGAGTTTTAAAAAATGAATATTAAGAAGTATATTCTTATTGGATAGAAGTTAGGAAAAATTTTTTTTTACAAAAATGAGACCATATTGGCGGAAGGGAGTTCATAGGAAACTATTCCAAATTCATTCTACATTACAATCTTTAGGGATGCACCCGAAGTCAGAGGCAGGCTGACAATGGCAAAGGCAAGATTCTCAGGTCTGATTAGAAAAGTCATAGAACTTAAAGGGTACAGGTGCTATTGAAAGAATAGACTCCTTTACTGGATCAGGACTAAACTACAAACTGTATTATTTACTTAGGCAGATTATTGTATTTACTTATAAATACAAATTATTTATTTAGTCTCAGTTGCTCTGTTAAATAATTTGAGGCCAGAGGAGCTCTCAAGTAAATTGTTTGGGTGAATTAAGCAAATTTAGTTCCTAGATGGCTGGCTAGAAAATACAGTAGCTTGGCCCAGGGTAAGGGCAACCTGTGCTCAGAATGCTAGCAGTTGATCCCAAGACTCTACACTAATGACAGTTATAATTCAAACTGCAAGGTGAGGAGCTGCCCCCTGAAATCCTAGAAGGTCCGAAACGCTTACCTTGTTCATAATTTGAAGAGTGGTCTAAGTAATAAATTATGTTACTAGGGTAATAGTTTTTATTTTTTAAATTTTTTATCCTTTTGGTTTTGTTTTGGGATTAATTTTTAGGTATTAATGAGTACAAGAATGCTTGCCTAAAGCCCTGTTCCATATATATAGTAAATCACAGATTATTTAATGAATATTAATATTTTGTGACTATCATTTTAAACATCAACCCTTTAGCAATGTGGTGATAATTAATATAAAACGTAGTCTCCAGTTGGTATGTTAAGCTCTTTTCTTTATTCTTATCTTTTCTGTTAGCTTTATCTTCAAGCCAGGATGAAGGGAGACTGGGCAAGACTCTTACGCCCTACACTGCAATTTGGTCTTGTTGCTGCGTCCATTTATGTGGGCCTTTCTCGAATTTCTGATTACAAACACCACTGGAGTGATGTGTTGACCGGACTCATTCAAGGAGCTCTGGTTGCAATATTAGTTGTAAGTATACAGGGCAACGGGCAACAGACATCCTGATACTGAGAAACACTTGGATAAATAAGTAGAAAAAAATGTCCCAATGAGAAAAGTATGCTAAGGCAGAGAATGTGGCTCAATAATTGCTACTGGGTAAGGACCCCAACGTTATTAAAAGTCATTTTAGGATAGATAGCAAATAATACCTACGTTACTTACTCTTCGCAAAAGTTATTTAAAATTTTTTTTTAATTGTAAAAAGCTCTGGCTATAAAGTTTTCTTTTTAGTATGAATTGAAAAAAAAAAACAAAAAACTAATTTACATGAGGAATGACACTTTCATTAAGGGCTAGCAGAGTGAAGCCATCTGCCCAGTACATAACAGAGCAACTCCCAGAATGTCCTTAACAAAAATTCCTGTTAGCCACTAATTTATTCGTACCCTTAACCTGTACCCTGTAAAGTATATCCTTTTGTTTATATTTTGCACACTGCTTATTGCATATGGTTTTTAAACTTATTTAAAATTGTATCATTAAATACTTTGCCCCATTCTAAATGTTACCTGTTCTATACAGGCTGTATATGTATCAGATTTCTTCAAGGAGAGAAATTCTCCTTTTAAAGAAAGAAAAGAAGAGGACTCTCATACAACTCTGCATGAAACACCAACGACAGGGAATCACTATCGGAACACTCACCAACCTTGAAGGTGGCAGAGTGCCCAGATGAAGCTGGCCAGCTTTCTAAAGGAAAATGATTGCAACCAGAAGGCAAGAGGATGCGTCCTTCTTCCCAGTATACAAGCCTTTAAGGGGACTGCTGCTACTGTACCTCTTGGATGCCCACTTTACCTGTGTGTATATAGTTACATTTAACACAATGGTTATCTAATAGCTCTAAGTTCATTACAAAAAATTTCAAGCCTTTCACTAAAACAAATGCCCCACCTGTACATTTTTTATTAAAAAAATGTAATGCTTATGTACAACTGTGTATGTAATATGCTTTCTTAGAATGACGCTTGATTTAAATATAATACATCAGACAGGTGGTGAACAATTTAAAATCCCACATTCCTTTAGCTGACTCTTTATAAGTAGAGGCTGGCAGCAAACACAATATCTCTCTTGATTTTGGTGATTCCTAAGAGAAAAGAAAATACAGTTTAAATTCTCAAGACCACAAAGAATGTAATTCTTCTCCCCTGGGGTTTTGAAGACAGCACAACAATCCTGATTAAATTTGGTGAGAGGGCAAGCCTGGAAAATACAAAACCTTGCTTGCCTGAAGGACACCTAGAGGAGTTCACAGCCACCTCTGAGAGATGGGAAACTTAGAAACCAGACCCCTGTTCTCATGACTCTTGAATCTAAAGTACCCCGTGCGTGCGGGGGTGTCTAAAATTATTCAGAAAGACCAGACCAGAGGGACTAAGCTGTCCAAGAAGTTAGTTGACCCAAAAGCATGAATTTTTCAGCCTGCAGTGGAAAGCACTATATTTCAGTTACCATGTGAAATTCTTTCTGGACTAAGGACAAACACATTTTATCATATAGAAGTTTACAAAACTAGACTTAACCCTGGAGTCATTAAATAGGTCTGCCTCTCTTTAACAATGTTGAAGATATAAGCAGCTTTCATAAGCTTCTTCTTAAGGCACTGAGTTGCCAGCAGAATCACCAGGTTTGACTGTGAGCAGCTGGTAACTCAGAGCAACTATGTGGCTGCTCTTCTTTGATGTTTTAACTCATAGTCCTTTCTCTTGGCCAGCATTCAGATGGAATGAATGAAATTATTTGCAAGCATGTATGCTCCCCCCATTACTACCACCTTGGTCTAGCCGTTCTTTCCTGATCTGGTCTTCCTGCTTCCACCTTGCTAATCTACAGACTTGCCTGTGATGCAACAGCAAGAACTGCCTTGTGAAACCCAAGTCAGAGCACATCACTCCTGTGTTCAAAACCTCCAATCATTTCAGAGGAAAAAGCTGAGGGCTGGGAGCTACATGACCATTTCTTTTCTTCCTCCAACCCCTACTATTCTACTCATTGTTCAGCTGTGCTCCATCCACACTGGCCTCTTGTTGTTGCTTAAGTATATCAAGTGTCTATGAAGGACCTAAATGCCACCTTCTGAGTAGGGGACCCTAGGCCATCGTATCCATCCTCCAATTCCCTACTGTCTCTTCCTTTGTTTTTATTGCTACCTGATATATTTTAATTGTTGACTTGTTTACTGTCCACCTCCCTGCACTAGAATGTGAGCCCCATTAAGGCAGGGGTTTGTATCTTTTTTGTTCACTGCTGTATTCCCTGGTGCTTAAAACAATGTCTGGCACACAATAAGTGCACAATAAATATTTTGAGATTTTATATATATTCATTTACAAACTTTTTCCAACACACACACACACTGATATTTTCTTTGGACACTACTACATGGCCCTTCATGGCAATCCAGTGAAGAGCATCTGAAAATGTTCTCCTAGGTTGTGGTCAAGAGCTCAGGTCTCAACAGGATTTGCCTAAATTATTAGAAAAAGCTTATGGGCTGGATACTGACCTTCTGAAAATTTATTTTCCAGCTCAGTGTTTCCAATGGCTTTCGCTGCTTGACACATTTGTCGAAGTAGTTCTTCCAGGCGCCTCATACAACGAATTATGCTGCCTGGACAGAAAAGGAAACAAATCACTTGTAAAGTGTAAATAATCAGGAATAGCAGAACTTTTGTGAAGACGCAAGGAAGGTGAACATGGGATGATTTAACTGACAGTACTTTGAGGGACTTCTCCTGCAGTAAACCGTAGTAAACTTGACTGGTGACTAATGGTAGAGAGAGTCATGGATTTATTATAATGTGTTGACACTTGCTCTTAGAGAGGTAAGTAAACAAAATGCCCTGGGAGCACAGGAGAGAGCAACATGGGTGAAAGGTAGCAAAGGTGACATATAACTTGGGTCTCTTATGAATGAGGTCCCTGTCAGGCAGTGACAAGGGAAGACCACTGAGACAATGTAGAAAAGCAGCTATTCAAGGACCCTGAGTGTGGCCTACTACGGCCTCTGGATACTATCCTGTGAAGAGAATGCAACAGGGAATTTTTAAGCAGGGGAATAACAGGATCAGATTTGTACATTTTAAAGGTGCAGTCAATCATTCTTCTGGACCTTAAATAGACTCTTTCATCAGTGCTTTCCTCACACAATGTGTCCTCAGTGAAGCATAAAAGAGATCAGTCTCTTCCCACTGGATGTGACTCCCTGTCTGAGACAAGTGTTTGCATCAAAGGTGAAGTTGTAAACACTGTTTCACTTCTGTCAGACTTGCACAAGGAGGGGCCTTGGGATCCTTCCTCTTAAGTGCCACCTGCCTAAGTTTAAAACTCTTGGATTTCATTTTTAATGTCTGAAATACATTAGGAATATCAGTTCTCTCTGATATGCAAGCTGTTAACTCACACTTCAGGTCCTTATTTAACTCCTTGCAACACTGGAAGAATTCATTAACATGTATCAAGCTCTTGTAATACACTCGATGTGCAGTGTTGAGGGCTCCTTTTTACCTTTTAATGCCTTGCACATTATGGTACAGTGTGCCCAAGGGAGAAAAACAGTAGAGAGATTTAACTCATAAAGCAGAATGGAATTTGAGCTTAGACAAAGGCAAAAATATAAGCCATATACCTAAGAGGGTCATTAGGATTCAGCAGGAAGTGCCCATGTACATGTACAGCACCTTTTCTCTCTGAGAAAATGTTGCACAAGGGCCTGGGCTGATAAGGACAACATGCCTGGTTTCTGAACCCACCTATGGGCCAGAGCAAGCAGAACACAAAGATGCTAGTTCACAGCGAGAGGTTTATGGGATGAGATTGGTCAACAAGAGGACCACCAGCACGTATGTCAACTTGAAAGATCAATGGGGATACCTCTCTTAAAAGGATGCTATCATCTCCTACTTATGGGATGTTCACCTAATCTAGACTTGGTTATAAAAGGAGTGAGCTGAGACACCTGGAGTTAGAGGAAAGAAGACTGGATGGTGACCTGGATACTAGGAAAGATTCAGCCAAGTAATTAGCTCTATGATCTAGGCCCTTATTCTACTCTTACTTCCCCTTCTCATTTGTAAGGTAAATGACGATAAATGCAATTTAAACAGAGGGCTTACTTTACCTAACTGGATTTGTCTCACTTGAGATATGAGATGCACAAATTCTGTGACAGGGGCAAAGCTCTAAAGGAATGTAAGGTCATAATACAGTCCTTAAACCAAAATATTCAAAGTTCATACTTTATTGTCCTTCCTCTTCTCCCATTAAAAGGTCCATGGAGTTCTTGGAGAAGTAGGGTCAAGACTGACATCTCACCTCCACATCTACACACATCTTACAATAACCCTGGCTTTCTTATTATAGGAGAGTAAAGTAATTAATGTTTATAATAAGACTTAGGCATCAAGGAAAGGTGAAATAAGGCTGAGCATGTTTCAAGAAAAAAGGGTTAGAAAAGGGTTATATCCAACATTTTCTGAGTACTTACTTTGTGGCAGGTCTATAATCTATGTTTTGTGTAAATTTTCTTGTTTGACCCTTACAGTTCCATGAAACAAGTACTGTTATCCCTATTTTACAAAGAGGGAAAAGAAGCTCAGAGAAATTATAACTTGACCAAGGTCAGAGCCAGGAGTATATGATGGAGTCAGGATTTAAATCTAGACAGTAAGATTCTACAGCCTAAGCATTTAACCATATTATACTATAGTACCTCACAAAAATGATTTATCTATATTTTCTATAATAAATGTATTACTTTCATAAATTTCAGTTCTAATTAAATTCAGTTTATACATTTAAAATAATCGAGAAAAAATTGTAAATATTTAGTAAGATTTTCAGGTCATACTCTAAGCTCCTCACTTCTGTTATAAATCTTCATTGCCAGGTAATGCCAAAGAATTTGCAGTAATGGGTTTCAAGAAGTAGGAAGTAGTGGAAATTGGCAAGTAGGATCCAGTCGCAAAGAGTCTGTTTTCTTAATTCGGCAATCAGAGTAATGACTTGTGATAATTTCAGTGAAATGGGAGACTAGGTTACTATGGCTCAAGAAGGAAATGGGAGGTAGGGAGTTGAAGATGGTCTATTCTCGACTACTCTTTCCAAGCCTGGCTTGTGAAAGGATTGAGGGATTGAGGATGACGATGACAACAAGATAACTTACTAAAAAATGATGGCAGCAGCTAACACTGACTGCTTCGTGCCAGGCACTGTACTAAAGGCTCTACATGCATGATATTAACCTCACAATACGAGATAAGAGCTATTATTATTACCATTTTATAGCTAAGGAAACAGGCACAGTTAAGTAACTTTCCCAGGATCATTCATCTAGTGAGTGGGTAGGATTTAAGACCAGGATATATATGCTCTTGCTCTTAAACACTGTACGTTATGTTGGTAGCTGGAGAAGACGTGGATGAGAAATATAAACATATTCATATGCTAAAATGGCAGCAGAAAGGACGTGACTCAAGACGGCAAAGGTGCAGAA